GACCCGCTCCACTGGCAATAAAACTTTGGAAGCAGAACCTCAAGACATGCAAAACAAATAAAAAACAAGTAAACTTTAATAGTTATGGGGGAAAAAATGACCATCCCATTACAACATGTTATTTTAAACATTTTATGTGTTTGTGTGAATATTTAAAAACTGAAGAAATAAAAAAAGTGTCTGTGTTTTATCTTTTTAGAAGAAGAACACGTGTATGATAACATTGACAACATTTACGATAGGTCAATATAAAATCAAAAAGTTTCTTCTCCTGAAAGGTGAGTTCCAACAATTTTATACTGATTTAGAGAAAAAAAAGTTCAATTTTAAGCAAAACTGTTTCTCCCTTCTGCTATCTGAAACTGTTATACATTTTTAAAAATGGTTCAAATGTGGATCAGTATTTAGTAACAATTGGTTGCAGCAGTTTCTCATCAGTTTAACTAATTGATTTATTTATGTTTTTCTTTCTTGATCAGAAGATTAAAAAAGACCATTCAGAAGAGGGGACACAGTCTGTGTACCAACATGGACAGGAGACAAATGTTCAGTATAATTGGCAATGATATTTATTATATAGTATTGTGTCGTAATTCGTTTGTAATTCATTGTTTATGCATTGTATTTTAAAGGATCATGGTCACAAAACTTTTATCAGAATATAATTATTTACTTCACCGTGCAGTCTGCAATGCTGCAAATCATCTCTTTCCATTGATGATATTTGTGCAACACGTGTGTTTATTTATGACAAGGAGTCCAACCAACACTGGTTTTTATGTGACAGTTTAATTTATGAATTAGGGCATAAAATCTAGACGTAAAAAATAATAAAATAAAACATTTCAGCTTGATTTGTCTTGAAGTAAATATAATACATGTTCTATTGATTTTGTTTATTTAATGTTTTCAGGCTGTAAATAAAAGCAGCAAAACAAGTTTGTGTTTTCAAGTCTGTTTTCCTGTATTTATGAATATATTGTAGCTGGTAATAAATTATTACAAATTTTAACATTTTCGAATGAGAAAGACTGAGTTCAGAATCCCACAAAATAATAATGTGTTCAATTCATTTCAGTTCAATTTATTTTATATTGCTCCAATACATAAAATAAAACAAGCCCAAATCATGAAACTATTCTGGCACAATGGTGGCGCAACTGGTAGAGCTGTTGTCTGTTAGCCATAGGGACGCCAAATCAAATCCTGGCCGAGGACTTTTATGGGTGGAGTTTGCATGTTCTCTCCGTGCATGTGTGGATTTTCTCCGGGTGCTCCAGTTTCCTCCCACAGACCAAAAACATGCATGTTAGGCTGATTGGTGACTCTAAATTGTCCCTAGGTGAGAATGAGAAAGTGAATGGTTGTTTGTCTCTATGTGGCCCTGTGATGGACTTGCGACCCGTCCAGGGTGTACCCCGCCCCTTGCACAGTGATTGCTGGACATGCGCACCGGCGACCCCCGTGACCCAAAATGGAAGAAGTAGGTAAAAGATAATGGATGGATGGATGGATGGATGGATGGATGGAT